GCAGCAAAGGAGATTCTGTAAAGTGTTTTTTTTTATTTTTATTTTTTATTTTTTCAGATGAGAAGTTGAGCCTGTCGGACTCGAAGTGGGAGGACATCCATGTGACGACCGGAGCTCTGAAGATGTTCTTCAGGGAGCTGCCCGAGCCGCTCTTCACCTACGCTCTGTTCCACGACTTCGTCTCCGCCATCAGTACGCGTCACACAGCTACACTGCAAAAACACACAATCTTACTGAGTATTTCTGCTCTAGTTTCTAGTTCAGATATCTTTGTACACTCCAAATGAGACAAAACTAACTTGCAAATAACTTTTGAGCAACTTTTTTGTACTGCATGAGTGAGAGAAACTCATCAGAAACATTTTGTTTGTGCTGCAACCAGAATAACTCTGCAGTGGATACAGGTTTTGATGTTGTTTTTCTTCTTCTTCTGCAGAAATCTCGGACTACAGGCAGCGGGTGCAGGCCATCAAAGACCTGGTGAGGCAGCTGCCCAGGCCCAACCACGACACCATGCAGGCTCTCTTCAAACACCTCAGGAAGTAAGAAAGTCACACGTTTCACAGCTTATCCTTGTTTTATTACCCCACAGCAACAAATGGATGAAAGAATGTGGAAAGACTTCATGAATTGGATCTTATTTGATAAAGTCGTACATCTGCAGTGATGAGGAGGCGACATTTTTGATTTGCGTGTGAATAAAGTTCAAAGTTTGATTCCAGTATGAAAACAGGGAAAATATTTGTTTTTCCAAATGTGATTCAGTATTTTTCTTTCTCTGAATGCTGCATCATTTTCTGTTTTTCCTTGTTCACATCCTTCACTCCTTCCATTTACTTATTTCCTTCAATGTGTTCTTCTCTCCTCATTTTCCTTCATCCTGTCTTTTTTCTTCCTTTTCCCCTTTTGTTGTTTTTCCAACCTGCTTAGATTCCTTTCCTTTCTTATGCCTTTCATTCCTTCTTTGTGTGATTGTTCCCTTATTCCTCATTTAATGTTTCTTTCCATAATTTTTGTATTTCCTTCCTCCCGGTTTCTTCCATCCTTTCTTCTTTCCTCTTTGTTCCTTTTTTTGTATCCTATTTTCCTTCCTCTGTTGTTTCGTTGTTTGTTCCTTCTGTCCTTCCTTCCTTGCTTCCCATCTTCCTTCCTCTTTATTTGTTCTTTCCTTCCTTCATCACTTCTTTCCTTCCTTTGCTTGTTCCTTCTTTGTATCCTGTTTTCCTTCCTTCTCTTTTCTTCTTTCCTTTCTTCCTTGTACCCTGTTTCATTCTTCTTTTCTTTCCTTTCAGATTAGAAACAGAAACTGGAAGGTTACAGATTTAAAGCCTGTGTTGAAATCTCTGCTATAAATTCACTTTGTTTTATTTTACATTTTTAAACAATCAAGTTGAACTGAGACTTTTTGAAACTTTTAGAAACTCTGGAGGCCAAATGTGTCAGAACCCTGAAGTTATCATTATATGAGACAATAATAAAGGTTCTGTCTCCACGTTTCTACTCGTTTTCTTTCCCAGAGTGATCGATCATGGTGAGGAAAACCGCATGACCACTCAGAGCGTGGCCATCGTCTTTGGCCCCACGCTGCTGCGGCCCGAAACGGAGACCCTGAACATGGCTTTCAACATGGTTTACCAGAACCAGATAGTGGAGCTCATATTGCTGGAGTATGAGAACATTTTCGGCAGGTAGACGCCAGAATCGTTTCTCTTAATGCAGAGCTTTTTCCAACCTGGCGTCGCTGCTCACCGCAAAACATCGCAGAGCGACCAACTGGCCAACCACGTTCCTCCAGAGAAACGACCAAATAAACTTTTGACTCTTTGCACTTTTCAGTATCTCACTTTGTCCTGCAGCTGCATTTGTGCCACTTCACTGCGAAGGCGATGTCATCCTCGTCTAGACACTGGATTTCTTCTGACTGTGCAACAAACTGCACAGGCTGAGCGTAAATGGAGGAAGCAGCTTAAGTTGACTGTATTACAGATGAGGCGTCAGTATTGGAGATGTATGATGCTGAACGGGATCTGTGCACGCTGCGCTGTAAATCTCATCGCTTATAGTCACTCCTGTCACAAATCAAAACCAGACAGTGGTCTCACCTCAGCTTGGCTTTAGATGTTTATAAAATTAAGCAGAAATAAACCACAAAGTGATGGAGTGGGGAGAAAATTTTTAGGCTGTTTTTATTGTATTTTTTATTATTATTATTTTTGAATGTTTTCTGCCTCCTTTATTTCCCCCTGAATGTGCTTCTCTTTATGCTCCTGAGAAACAGAAAAAAAGGATGTTCTCCATATTATATCTGTTAGAACAAATCATCTCATACTGCAAAAACACAAATTCTAAACTATTTCTGTCTACTTTCTTTTGCAAATCTCTTAGTAGACTTAAAATAAGACAAAACTAACTTACTAGTAACTTTTTGCAAAGATATAGGAGCTTGTTTTATGTAAGTAATCCTTGAATCTCAATTAAAAAAAAACTGGCAGATCCCTATGTCATAACTGTATTATAACTGAAACAATCTGCCAGTGGAACCTGTACTTTTTTTAATATTAAGGAATCCTTTACCTTAAAAGTTGCTAAAAAGTTCATTTTAAGTTAGTTTTGTCTTGCATATTCCACTGAAATCTAGACAAAATCACTAAGATTTTGTGTTTTTGCAGTGCACGGCCTCGACTTAAAACAAAGGTACTCATCTGCTTCTTTAAGACTTAATAGACTAAAATATTTCAGCCTCTGAACACTGTACAGTGTTTATGTGTGTATGTGAACAAGAGGTGGATGGACAGTGAAGATTGAATGGACTTACTGACAATAAATTGTACAAATAGTAAAAGTAAGTTTGTATGCCTTGAGTGTTTATAACGTGGAGAGGGAGAAATCACTGTTTAGTGGTTTGTGTTGAAGCAACAGATGTGAGGGATGAGTCCATAAACTGGGAATGATGGTTTACATGTGAGTCAGTGACTATTGACTGCATTAAACTGGAATAAATACCTCTTAAGAAGAGATGTCACGTTGTAGGTTTGTTTTCTCAATGTTTGCATTCACACCAGCACTGTTTAATCCAACTCTAGTTTGCTTGTCTAGAAAGTCTGGTTCGTTTGGGGAGGTGTGAATTTGTATTTAAACTCTGATCCGCCTAAAAACTGAGGTTTCGGTTCGGTTGAAATAAACTCTGGTGCGGTTCGAATGCATATGTGAATGTGAAGCGGACCGGATACCTCTTCAAAAGCAGGAAGCAAACTAATGCGCAAAGCATTCTGGGTAAATGCAATCAAAACAAATGAGTCTAGGGCTAGCTAGCAGCAAAATTGGTTTATGACAAAAGAAAAATCTTCAAGCACTAAAGCATAATTAATAAATTATAAAACTACGATAAACATTTCCGAATTATTTATATGTGATACAGAACACCAGTTCTTGAAATAAATTGAAAAGTATGAGTGGACATGGAACCGGGGCACGGAACAGGTTGCACATCCTCCAATCAGTTGGTTGTTGCTGTGCAACAAAACAACCAATCACGGCAAACCCATCGCTCGCGAGCTCTTTTCCAACTGTTACGGTTTAGGAAGCTGACAGTTGGTTATTTCGGCCTTGTAAAAACTGGTTAATTAAAGCTATTATAAAACGTAACCATAGCTTCGTGTGGTGATATAGTATTGATCAGTTTGTTAGTTTAATAATGTCCCAAGGTTCAAAATTAACCGGCAAATATATGATTCGGACGGGATACCACCCGGCTAAGCTAACTTAGCTAAGCTAATTAGCAGTTATGGGTGAGCTACAATCTTCTCAGCAACTCTTGTTATACCAAAAAAGCAGGTGAGTGTTTCATTTTGTACACATTTAATTTATAACAATACAGTATGTTACATTTTTACAATATTACCAACACATTTTCTTCTCATCCGGTTTCCAATTATAGGAAGCTGAAGCCATCCTTTTTAGAAAGCAATTTGTGTCAGACATTGTTATACACCTGAATGGATAAATATTGTACCGTGACTAACTGAACTCCTATAATCAATCAGTTAATTTGAATTACAATTCTTTGTCTATTTAAGTTTAACACATATGTAAAAAGAGGAAAGTTGTCTAATTTACATATGAGCTGCAGCTCAGTATTATAGTTTAATATGAGTCACTGATAACCTAGAAATGTATATAAAAATGTGTGTCCACGAGAGACTCTTAAAATTACATTTGTTGACATATATATGTGTGCTTAAACAAAACATTCATGTTTAAATATATTCCAATGTGGCAGAAATGCACTTAGTAAGTACTTGTTTTTGCATCACAGTTGTAAATATTTAATATGAAAATATTCCCAGATAAAATAGCTTCATTTTTCTTCTTTTTTAAGCTATATCAACATTTGCACAACAGATATATAAACCCACCTTGTTAATAAATCAAAATATACTCAAGAGTATACCTGGAATTGATTTATGTTTTAAATTTAAATTTTTTTCTTTAAGTGAGGCAAAAGAGTAGATAGTAATATTGAAGTTTACATTAACTAGTTCTTAGCCCACTTTGGTGCAATGTTTTGAAGGTTAAACTCACAAGTAGATTCAATACCAGTTTCTATTATTAAAAAAACACATCGCAGGAATAAAACCATGGAAAAAACGTAGCTCATGGATTTTAATGAAATCTTTGATGTAGGGTCAGTGTTAAACCGTGATAATAAATTCTTTTATCTGTGAATACAAAGCGTTTTCAGAAGGCTAAGGGCTTTCTTCTTTATTCAGCTGTGCAAATATCTTCTGTGTTGTAGAAATTTTCAACATTTCACTGCAGCTTTTATGTGGCCCCTGGCATCACATCTGACTGCTCAATTCCACAGAAAAGAAATTTCTGCTCTTCACAAAATGCACATCAAATGTAATCACAGAAAATGTGCATCAACTATATAATTTAAAATCTCCAGAAACAGGAGCTATGAAAGAGAGGTATCTACTCATCGTAAAAGCTGAGGTTACACCCTCCTTCCAGAGAGTTCAGAGGAGCAGACGTGTGTGAAATTACGTGCAGCGGTCACATGAATTCAGGCTTCTCAGACAGCAAAGGGCAGCTGATATGATGTGGAGAGCAGCATTGAACATTAAAAAAGCACTGCATGTCAGACTCCGCTTCAGACAGACTGAAAAACACCATATGAGACTTTTTGTTCCAAAAAGGTTCCAACCTTTTATTTGTACTTTTGTCTCTGGTGCCGGTTAGCTGGAAAGTTGTTTTTCCTCTTTAAAGCTGCAGTAGTTCTACAAAAATGATTCTTTTTTTATGCACTTGTTAAAATTGACTCATAACACATAACATAAGTCTAGGGCTGGACTATTTGGATGGAAAATGTGTCGCAATATAATCGTTTCAGATCAGTTGATATCTGATTGATTAGTTTTTTTGTTTGTTTTAAATATCTTAAATACTACCAAACTAGTGAAGTAACCTTCCCTATTTTATCCAGTTTTCTACCTACTCCAGGCTGTAGATTTTTAAAATTTATTTTTAAGCAGTTATGAGGCACACTAGTGAAACCTTAAACTGCTGCTGTGCAAGTTACTCAGCAAGTTGTTGCTATGAAACCAAAGAATGAGTGAATTATTAGGAAACCAAAGAATGCGTGAGTTGCTAGGAAACCAAAGAATGAGTGAGTTGCTAGGAAACCAAAGAGTGAGTGAGTTGCTAGGAAACCAAAGAGTGAGTGAGTTACTAGGAAACCAAAGAGTGAGTGAGTTGCTAGGAAACCAAAGAGTGAGTTGATTCCACCAACCGGATAAAGTCTATCCTCTGCCTACATCGCCCAGAATGCTGTGCGATTCTGAATCGACCATAGTGAACATTCTATCAGACATATTATCCATTGATATTGACCACGTGTCTTTCGCGATACACATTATTGATTTATGATCCATCCCTACATGAGACAGATAATCTGTCTCCTGTAGCTGTCTCAAACTCCTCTGTCTCATCTCAGAGGTCCTACTGCCATCTGCAGAAATTCACCGCTCCCTGTCAGAAACAAGCAATGCATCAGCATATAGAAAATTGTAACTTTGCAAAAATTAATATTGCCATGATGATTGTGCAGCTCTGTGTATGTAATGTGTAAATGTTTCAAACTACCCATTATTTTTTTCAAGGTTTAATTATAATATTCTTACTTTTTTGTATTAATTTCTATTCAGTCTTTAAATTTCAAAAACACAAAATGTTACCAAGTATTTTTGGTAGAGTTAATGCTAATATCTTAGTACACTTGACATAAGACAAAAACTAATTTACAATTGAATTTTCAACAAGATATAAGAGCTTGTTTTAAGTAAATATTTTCTTAATATTGATGAAAAAGTTATAGTTCCATTGGCAGATTATTACATAACTTGTAACAAGACATTTTTCCCTTGTAGCTAGTGAAATAATCTGCCAGTGAAACTAGCCCATTTTATTTTATTTACTCAAAACAAGCTCCTACATCTGGCTGAAAAGTTACTTTCAAGTTAGTTTTGTCTTGTTTCCAAGTGTACTAAAATATTAGCACTAGAAACTAGACCAAAATTACTCTGTAATATTTTGTTTTTGCAGTGTATAGTTGAGTATTGGGTGTACAGTGCAGTGTGTGCTTAGAAAAATAAGTAAAGAACAATGTGTCCAGAATGATATCATGTCCTTAGAAAACGGGAAAACATCCAACAAATATCTGATACAGAATATTTCCCCAAGTGTCAGGAAATGTTCAGGCCACTTTAAAATGAAGGAATATTAAAGTTTGGGGAAAATATCTTTTACTTAATGAGTGCCAAAGTCATGTGTTTCAGACATTGAGGTTGATCTCTTTTGTCTCAAGGTCTGGATGGACTTCTTTTTTCCCATTAACAGAGTTGTGCTGAGCATGCAGGCTCTTTTAAGCTCTGGCCTACTTTAAACTGTTCCAGTTACAGAGTCACATCTGCAAAGAAGAGGTCACACGGCTACTTTTCCCTCAGTGTCGCTCTGCTGACTGAATACAGATTTACAGAGTTTGGGACGTCATTGGAGAAGCGAAGGACTTTCTCTGCACTATAATCACAGAATGGTGTTATACAGATGAAAAGGTCCTTTATGTAAATGTATTCATCATTTCCATATATTGCAAGTAAATCTGCAAAGACTACATTATCAACATAATATTAGGAATTCCAGTTTTATGGACTATTGTGATTACTTTTAACTCATTATAAGAGAAATAATCACAAATATTCTTAAAATTAATTCAACAAACAAATGAGTTAATAGTTGAATTTTAGAAGGTTTTGCAACAATGAATTTGTTGTTTTGAGATCATTTTCAAGTAATATAATGTAATAATAATAATGCAACAACATATTCTTAAAGTTCAATAAACTTTAAATACTATCGATCATTTAGCACTGAAACTGGATGACATTTTAAATATCCAAAATTCAAAAACAACAAATAAAATAAAGTATGAAGTCTCTGTTAACAAAATTGTCATTTAAAAAAGGGATATTTGACACCAAAGTGCAAGACTGACAATTATTATCATGTAGGTTTTGGTAGAAAGAGAGAAAAGAGAAAAACAATAAGTAGTGCAAATGGAAATTATTGATCTTGTTTTAATCTGTAATGTGATTTATTGATTATTGAGAACCTCATACCTTCTGATTTTAGTTAGCCTTGCTACGCTTGCTTGGGAAGCAAAACAGCTTGATAAATTTGACTGGAAGCCAGTCAGAAAGCAAATAACATTTCAATAAATTAGTTTAATTTATATTTTATAATAATGATTGAAAAATAGATTAGATTTTTTTTTATTAAAATATTAATTCATTTGTGATTAAAAATTTATTGGATAAATTTTTTTCCCCCCCATCTTCCTTGAAGTTTTCTGAGGCGCCCTCTGGTGGCCCCCCCAGGGGCCTGCAGCCCCCCACTTTGAAAAGCACTGGCTTAGAAGATTGCAACAGAGAAAACTTTAAGGATGCAAACTTGGTTCTGAAGAACTTAATCCACGATTTGAGCACTGACCTTGGAGAGTGTCCTGTGAAATATATTTTGCTAAATTTAGAGCATTATTACCAACTCTCGTCAACTCGGACCGTTCAGAATGAGCAGATTGTGTGCTGTCTTTGAAATTAGATAGCAACAGTTGCTATTGGTCGTCCACAGAGACGCCTGAGGCCCGGCGTCAGCCTCCATCAGTGGGGAGCATCATTAACCGGCTCTCTGAGGAGCTGCTTCCCTCCCAGCATCCGCTCCGCTTCACCCTCAGCGCTTTGTGGCCTTCGCTGATAAGGCTGGGCTAATATCTGTTCAGTCGCTGACTGCAAAGGAATGATAAACACAGGCTGAACCGCCGTCTGCTTCTTCACAACAGGAACGGGGATGCAGCTTAAAAATCCACTTAAACTCAAACCTTTTAGGATCTAATTAATCACGTCCGTCCTGTTAAAGTTAGTGCAGTAATAAAGTTTACTGTAAATGTAATTCAGAATTCAATACATGTGTTGTTTCTGTTGTTTTGTTTATTTATTTTGGATATGTAAAATGTCTTCCAGTGTTAAATGTTTGTTAGAAATTAAATTTTGAGAATGTATTCTCGCACCATTATGGTTTTAAAAGAACAGTATTATCAATTATCACAATAACGTCTGGGACAATTTGTCATCCCTCAAAATTTGGTAATGTGATATTCATTCACACATTTTATAAGCTAATGAAACTGATTCCATCTTTGGGTTTTTTAACAATATTATTATATTTTCATAACTCTGCAGCTCTACTATTTAGATAATGAGGCGTCTCACACTGTAGTGATTTCTGCTGCCAGTGTTTATATATGATGGCAATAAGAATACCGACCATAGGTCATCCACATATCTGCAGATGCAGGTCAACATATCTCGTTTGCTATCTTGAACTGCAAAATATCAGGAAAATATGTAATCTCTGCTGCTAAAATTGTCCAGCTACATTTCTCTTATCTGCTCTCTATTGAAAACAACCTTTGACATCATCTACCGTGTGTGCATTCATATTTTAAAAAGAGTTATTATTGTCCTCTTAAACAGCTAACTGAGGGTTTGACCTGCTGATGGTTGGAGTGACCTGAAGATCCAACAGCGGAGGAAGAGTGTGAAATCAACTGTTTACGGTACTTTGCTGAAACCCAACACATAAGACCCTCAGGGTCTTTTTTTTTCCCACCACGTTTGCAAAGTAAATATGTTTTTCTTTCAATATTTAAATGCAGCACATGTTTGGAGCCTTTCATGATGATTACAGTGCCTGTGCAGCCTAACAGGCGGGTTGCTTGCTGAATGAAACCATGGAGAGAAGTCTGGCTTTACATGCAGCCCAGCCACCCATCTGTGCGCTGATTTGACATATCGAATTTACCTTGAAAGTCTGTCAACTGCAGAGTTTGTGCAAACCAAACATATTCTGTTGTTTACCATTTTCACTATTCAGTGAGGGCCGCGCATCCTTAAAATGTCTGAAATTTCTTTTTAAAAACTAAGTTGGCCTTTAATCTGTTAAATATGTTAATCACAAGTCTTAAACTTAGTCTTGACAACGATTTAATGTTAAATGTTCTATTTATTTAAACATTTTTGTCAGTCGCACTCATGCAGTTTCACTGAGGTTGAGGCTACCCCTAACTAGCTACTATTACACCATTGCTAGCTAGCTAACTTTTTTGCATGTATTATGGGCAAGCTGCCTGGATGAGGTCCATACATTTATTGTGGAGATTTATTGTGGAATCTATTCATAATAATCCTGAAAAGGTTTTAAAAAGTATTAAAGTTGAGTTGGTAAAATCTGAAGAAAATTCATCTGTTTACATTTATGAAAATACCTGAAAATCGGAATTGGGTCACTTCAGGCTGCAGTGAGAACGCAGCCTTAGAGTCTGCGATGTCGCTCTTCGTTTCCTGTAATTGCTCTGAGTGCTGCATGGTTTGACTATATGGTGAATTGCTGGAATTTCCATTGATGGGAAATTAAACCTTTTTGCTGTAAAACGATTCTTCAAACTTCAGACTGTTTGGAAATGATCTTATAACTCTTTTAAAAATTCACAGGCATCAACCTTTGCTTCTCTAAGTTCACTTCTGATGTCCTTCTGCCTTGACGTTGTGTTAGCCCTACATCAAACTGCCAAACCTCCTGCATTTTACAGAGGCAAACCACTTCAGATCTGAGTATCGGGGCTCTCCGTTAGCAATTGTTTCCACAAGGCTTTGAGCTTTAACGATTACTGCTAACTGTGTGGGGATCTCTTTATAGATTGACCTGAGTGGCAGCAGCTCCAGGTTGTTAGCAGTCCGTATCTGTCTCCTGCTGGTTGGCAGAGATTGGACAGAATCAGCCTTTCAGAAGAAAGAAACTGCGAAACGTCGGGGTAAAGCCTCTCAAAAACATTATGAGTTTCCGCTGTGTGTTTAATTCCCGTAAAGGGCTTACTCTTGTCTGTCAGAATGAGCTGAAAACTCATCAAAAAATAATTTCCCCCTTTCCACCTGGATTTATCTCCCTGTTATCTGTTGAGAACGCATAAAGATACTGTGCTCTAAGTTGATGCTTTAAAAGAATCACAAATTTGTTTTTGTTTTTTGTTGTTTTTGTGGAAATAGCAGTTAGAAATTTATAAAAGTCTGTTACAGCATAAAAAATATCAGTTTCAGGAGATTTTTATTGAGTAAATTTGCATATTTCAGAGCTGTTAAAGTTGAAATACTTTGGAATACGAAATAGTGGGGAGAGTTAACCTTCTGGTTTTTATTTTTATATAGATTCTTAATTTAATTCATCATCATATTCTTTAAAATTTTTAACCTAAAAAATAAGCCTCTCTTTGTGTCAAATTACATGCAGGTTAATTTCATATGTGTCAAAAGTTTTATTTCAGTAATTTAGTACAAAAGGTGAAGCTAATATGTAATGTGTTTATAGTTGTTTATTTGAGTTTCTTGTACTTGTAGCCCATGACTCGCCTGATAGTAGAATTAGATGGAGTTGAAGGATTTACTCTGCCAAATTAAAATTTTTAGAGTTAATTGATATTTTAAAGATGCAGCTTAATTCTCTGTGCAGGATTGGTGATTTTAATGCTAAACAAGCTAAAAAGTGTGTAATTATCCCTCCTTTTACAGGATTATTTCATAAGAAACCATATTTCACTGCACATTGTTCCTCCGTTGTTGAGTCAGTTTTCTTTTCAGACAAAGCCCATAATTGCTAAACAATCCAGCTTTACCAGATTAAAAACAACGAGGTTCATGTCTCCTAACCATTTGACTCCCTTGTTTGGTATTTCTCTCCACTCGGAGCAAAGATCCCAGCTTTCTTTTTGGCATTTTGCTTTGTTGACTGACAGCAGAATGGCAGTGTTGCAAAGTTAATGAGATTTATCCTCAAAGGCCAGTCTGCTGATCCACAGCGATGCTGTGACATTTCTCCCACTGTAGATCGATCGATAAGTGGTCACACCGTCCTCACAGGACAAACATGGAAAACAAAACTCAAACTCCAGATTACTCCTGTGAAAGGAAACAAAGAGCAAAATATGGAGAGTACCAGAGCAGGTTATTTTGTTCTTATGCCTCCAGACACATGTAGATTTTTATAACTTCCGGGAGGCGTTAGAGTGTCTTCATTTTCAAATTATTGTCCAGTAAAAGAGGAAAAGTAGACCTGTGATCTTATTCCGCAGTGGTGGGAGAGTTTTGCTTAATTTGGTAGCTTTGAGCTTCCTCAGAGTCATTTCACAACAAACTTTCTGTTTTGAAATGGACACAAATGTTGAAACCGGGGCTGGACGATATGATGTTGTATCACAATAACTTTTTTCTATCATTCAATATCGATATATATATCATGATTAGGCCAATTGGGCCGGTGTAAGAAATTTAGGTAAAAATATTACAGTATATTGATTACAGTTGTAAAATGTGTTTGTTTTCTTTAGCATGCATATGTAAACTTTTCGCAATAACAAATTTTGCTGGTCGATAAATTGTCTCAGAAGTTATTTCAATAAATTATAATGTTGTTTGGAAGCCATTTTATAATACAAAAACCCATTATCAAAGATTAATACACTTTAAATACTAATGAACATTTAACACTGGAGCTGGAAGACATTTTAAATATCCAAAATAAACTAAACGAAACGAAAGAAACAACAAATAAAATTAGTCTAAAGAAAAGTCATTCTTCAAAAAAAGTTGAGACCAAAACAGCAGACTGAAGAGTTTTATCATCCAGTTTTTAGTAGAAAAAGAGAAAAACAATAAATCATGCAAATGAAAATTATCGAGCTTAATTTATATGATTAATTGATTTATTGTTTATTAACAGGTTGAACTTCACCCGTTGACCTTTTCTTGCCAGAGCCTCCGCACGACTTTTTCATACCTTGAAATTGGTATAAATATATATTATAATCATTGAGAAAGATTACAGCACTGAGGATTCAACAGCTAACAATAGAAACCATATTATCGATGTCTGCTGGCCGAGGTACTGATACAGATCATTGCTGAAAAATATATTCAGCTGTGTGTGTGTGTGTGTGTGTGTGTGTGTGTGTGTGTGTGTGTGTGTGTGTGTGTGTGCGTGTGCGTGAGAGTCAGGCATTAATCCAGACAGTTTCTCCAGCATGCCTGAGGCTGCAGCTGTCTCCATCAAGGACAAATCGAGGAAAATAATAGCAGATTAGCATAAAGCGTCAGGAATCAGCCGTTTGTCTCCACATTTTGCAAAAGGAGAAATATGCATTTAATGAAAGAAATCACTGCTGCAAATGCTTATGAACGCCATTCAACCCTGAATAGGTATTATGGTGTGTTTTTTTCTTTGCTTATAAGACACTGGTGGTACCTGGACCTTGATTTTTAAAACCTATGACTGAATCATGCAGCATCTGCTAACAGCATGCTGGATTAGATCACTGAGCTCCCTGCTCCGCTGGGAGAGCGTCGAACGCTGTGATTTTACATGCTCTGTTAAGTTTGTCCACCCTGTCAGCTTTAAGCCTCGCTGCCTTGCCTGATTACCTCCAACAAGTTCCACTTCTTCAGTCATTTGGTGTTCTGTTGAAAAACATCTCACGCTTTGATTTTCTCTCTCATTTACATAAATGCTTCCTATTTAATCCCGTTAGCGTTCTGTTTGAAGTTCTACTTTGATTAAAATGTTGTACTTTTTTAAGTACTCTCCAAAGTCCAACGTAGAAAATCTGAGGAAATATAGATGGATCACATCTGTCTGCAGAGACAGAAGATGTTTCTGTTGTTGTCGTTTAAAAGAAAATGACATTGTTCTCTGTCAGTAATCTGTGTTTGACTGTATCCTGCCAGACAAGCAACAAAACACTTCTGAAAATCACCAGAGTGTGAATTCAAGCAAGGGATTCCTTTGACTGCATGTTAACAGGTTTAGCTGAGGAGACAGGGAGAGAGAGAGCGAAGCTTTCACTCTGAGTTATGTTAATTTGCAGAAGCTGTTTCCAGTAATCTTCTCCATTGTAGTTTGTGGTGTAATTGCTCTGCTGCTTGCTGCTGATAAACGTGGAGAAGAGTCCAGTCTCCTCTGGATTCTATCAGGAAACCGTCAGGCTGAAAATGCTGGCTGAACCCGGCAGCCAGGAGGCTGCTTTAGCATCTGCACTCTGTCGCCTTTGTCTCTGCAGCAACAAGGTGATGCAGCATGTGAGAAGAAGACAGAGACACGGTGTACATTTAGGACGTTCTCAAATATTAGAACGAATGGTCTCAGATGTCAGATGACAAACAAAAAGCAATCAGACCTCTGATGAAAAAATCTCAGAAAGAAAGGCATCAGACAAGAAGATCTCAGCAAAAACAGTTTCAGACGAAAAAGTCTCAGGAAGAAAGGCATCAGATTAAAAGCTTTCAGAAAAAAACAGCTTCTAAGGAAAAATGGCTTTGGATGAAAAGGTCTAGGAAAGAAAGGTATCAGATTAAAAGCTTTCAGCAAAAACAACTTCAGACAAAAGGTCTCAGAAAGAAAGGCGTCTGAGAAAACGTCTTAAGAAAGAGCAACTTCAGCAAAAATGGCTTTGAATGAAAAAGTATCAGCAAAAACAACTTAAGACAAAAATGTCTCTGGTCTTTTTTTCCTTTTCCATTTTGTCATATTACTTCTGGAAGAGTCCAAGGTGGTAAAACTAGTATAGGTGTTGCTTGGCTTTCTTTCTGAGACCTTTTCGTCTGAAGCCATTTCTGCTAAGACTTTTCCTACTGACGCTGTTTAGTGAGAGGCCTGATGGCTTTTTATCCTTGCTCTGACATCTGATTCCGTTTGTGTGAGGATAAGGATCTAAACTATACACCGTACAGAAGCAGCAGACTGAAATATACATCCGCACCTTATTGTCCAAATACGTCCATGCAGCTTGCTGTGCGCTCTTATCTGCAGCAGCTAGCGGTACCAACAGTGAGATCATCCCAGTGGTAGTAAAACCCACTAACTGACATAGATCTGCTCCTCTGCTAGTTCAGATTGGTGAAACTCTTTGTTCACTTTGAGACCTTTCAAAAATTTTCTCTAAGGCTCAATTTTGGTGCCTTAGATGCATTTTTGGTGCTCAATTTTGTTTTTTTTTTTTTTTAGTTAGTTTGTTTTTTCTTTCCTACTCCTAATTAAATCCAACTGTAATCTGACTTTTATGTGAACGGTTTACAACCCCCAAAGTGGCCTGCAGGCACTGAAGAAGTATGTAGACCTTGTACAGCGACAGTCTGTTTACAGTAATGTTTAGTTCGCTTTAATCGGACTCTTGTTAGTTTGCCTTGAAAGTTCGATTCATTTGGGAAAGTGTGAATGCAAAATCGAACTCTGATGCGGACTAAAAAAGCCAACTCTGGTCCACTTACAAACCTCGGTCTCAGTTTGGTTGAAGTGAACTCTGGTGCGGTTTGAATGCATATGTGAACGCTAAGTGGACCATAGACCGCTCCAAAAGCAGGAAGTGGACTATAACGCAGGGCATTCTGGGTAAATACAGCCCAAACAAATATGCTAGTCTAGCACTAGAGGGAGAAATAGTTTGTGTCTTATTACCAAAGACAATCAAATAATCCTACAACCACTAAAATCTAATGCTGCGCTGTTTCCTTCAGTGGTTCATGGTGCAGCACCCCCACTGGCGAGGAGGGGAACAATTCAGAGTAATTAAACTGAAATCTTACAAAGTAGTTAAAGTATGGAGGGTTTCTCCTGGCAAAGTTTTGTGTCTTTTTAATTATACTTGCAAAGTTTTCTTAGAGAGTTGGACTTCTACAAAAATTCAAAGTTAAAACTACGACCTGATAAGAAAGATATCACAAAGTGATAGCAAAAACCATTTTTGTCAGCCTGTAATTGACTGTTTTGATGCTTGGTTGGCACAATTTGCT